AGCTTTTGGGTGATACCAATAACTCTACAAGCCTTAAAATTGATGAGTGTCTGATTCCACCGTTTTGTGACACAATAAATTAATCAATTTATCCATTTATGCTCAATACCATTTATGTCCATCTAAAAAAGCATTTTGTATGGATTTTACTTTAAAATGTCGAACGAAGAAGTAAAGAACGTAGATTTGAAGTTTCTCACTGACCTAAATAATCTTATCCTGATGTCGGTGTAAACCTTTTCGCGCTTGTTTGCCCCCCCAGTTCCTGTTCATGGACCCCTCGGAAGCCGACCTACTTCTGGACTCCATGACAACGGCCACCAAGAACCAGCTGTCTCCACGGCGACGTATCGAGGTCGCCCGCTCTGTGGCCCTGGGGGGCACCCTGGTCACCAAGACGACCACCACCACCGAGAGGCCCCAGTTTGGTCGCCATGACCCCGGACTGGACGGTGAGTCTTTTTTAAACTTTTTTAATAGTAGAGGGTTTTACGGCGCTCGCAACTGCATAAGGTCATATGAGCGCCAAACGGTAAGTCTGATTGTCGCTGGGCAGTTTGCAAACAATTTCGAATTTGACGGAATCCATAATTTTTGTATTTTTTTAAAACTACAAAATCTGTGCCAATCTGGTCATAATGCCTGTGATTCTGAATTTTTGTTAGTCTATAATTGGGATTCTGAATAGGAGAATTTCTAAGGACCTATCTGCTCTATCAAAATTGTCAGATTATTCGAAGTCGTGTACTTGGAATAGAGCCCTCTGTATATATTGTTATATACGTGTAGATATATATATACATATATATATATATATATGTATATATATATATATGTGTGTGTATCCACGGGCCCTCCCTACTTCATGGAGAAGAACATGTATATTGAGGAGAGCCCTCTGTATATTTTGTTACATACGTATATTTATGTATGTATGCGTGTCCTCTGAGTATATTGTTATATACGTGTTTACACATCTGTATATTTTGTTACATACGTATATTTATGTATGTATGCGTGTCCTCTGAGTATATTGTTATATACGTGTATACACACATAAATATATATATATATATATATGTGTGTATGTGTGTATGTCCTCATTGTCCCCCAACTTCGTAGAGAATATGTACGAAGATGTGATCCCTCTGTATATAATGTTATATACGTACATATATATATGTGTGTGTGTATGTGTGTATGTCCCCAGGGTCCCCCAACTTCGTAGAGAAGAACATGTATGTAGAGGAAAGCCCTCTGTATATATTGTTATATACGTATATCTATGTATGTGCTATATATATATATATATATATATATATCAAGTAGAGGAGAGCCCTCTGTATATATTGTTATATACGTATATATCTATATATATGTGTGTGTATGTCCTCAGGGGCCCCCAACTTCGTAGAGAAGAACATGTACGTGGAGGAGAGAGTATGGGTTTTTACTGCATAAGGTCATATGAGCGCGCTACGTATATCTATGTATGTGCTATATATATATATGTGTGTGTGTGTGTGTGTATGTCCACAGGGTCCCCCAACTTCGTAGAGATGAATATGTACGTGGAGGAGAGCCCTCTGTATATATTGTTATATATAATTATATCTATGTATGTGCTATATATATAAATGTGTGCATGTGTATATGTATATGTCCTCAGGGTCCCCCAACTTCGTAGAGAAGAATATGTACGTGGAGGAGAGCCCTCTGTATATAT